GCACTTGGTACCGATTTGCAGAACCCGGAGAGTTCTGGACGAGGATGAAACAGGGCGTGCGATCAACCCACAGACCACATGTGTACTGCGGCGCATCTCTTGCTATTGCACTACATACACACGCGTCATTCAGAAAGCATAGCAAAAATTGACAAGCCGTAGAGAATTAAGCAAATACACGTACGGAAGCGGTTGACATAGGTGTATCAAACGTAGAGATTGAACGCAACTATACACGTTTAAGCAATCCATGAAACACAACAAGTTTAACCCGTGTTAACGGATTGACATAAAGAAAACACAAGAAGGCACCTCTATTACCTATGCATGTATACGTATATACATATATATACATATACATGTACATACATATACATGTACATATATATGCATGTATATATATACTGTGTACAACAAGTCGTGGAATTGCGAAAGCTTTTCCATCATGCACATTTCTCTACGCAGATGATTTTAGCGGGCCATGAAGTAAAACTCACTTAGCATTTTCACGACAAAATTTATCCACAGAAGTAAAAGTAAGATCAAATCTAGTCAGTTTTGCTCGTTTAACAGTGTTCTGTTATTTAAAAGCGAGGGAGAATAAATCACATGAACAAATGGCAAAGGTTTCTCCAATGAAATATAAAAAAGCGGACGAAATCACTTTTCCAAGGTTTCCAGGATAAATATTGTCTCACAGTTTCTAGAGATAACTCAAAAACAACAGCTTTACGAAAAAGGAACAAGTTACAAGGAACATAATTGCGAAAGATGGGCTCGAATGGACAGGCATCGGTTTCCAATGAGGCTACTTCACTGAAAACAGTCAAGAATTCTATAAACGATGTTGCTGATGGGTATTACTAAACCATGCTCTATATCTTCCACAAACCTCACATTTTATATAGAAAGAGAAACACTTTGTTATAACACTGGCCATTGATTGATATATCAAAGATACTTGCAGCAAGATGAAAAGACGGCATTGTTGTCAATGATGGTCAGTTGTCGGCAAGGCTTTAAACTTCTATCAGCAGAAGAAGAAAAAGGCTGTTTCTATCATTCACCATTGACACTTCCATCCGAAAGCTCACATGAGGGTAAATCTATTTGCAGACCGTGGCCGTCGTGAAATGACTATGTTGTGACCCTACAAAAGAGTAACTTGTGTTGAAAACTCGTCTCCATCTTTGATTTATGTAATATTACAAATGTTGGTTGGATGCAAACTACGCTTGTGAAGGTTCGAGCTTTTCTTTGTTGTCTTCTTACGGCAGTCTTTCAAGTAGAATTCGTTTCAATAAAGGTTTTTTATATGTCTTAGATTGAAAAAAACTGCTTCCAGCAAGCGACGTTTACAGAAAGGCAGACTCACCCTACTGGTTAGCATCTGACCCTGGTTCTCTAAATATCTCATCCATACGCGTTTCTGAATAACAATTGTGTTTTTGATGATAAATGCAAGATTTTCTGTAAAAAATCTTATACTATATCACATATTATTTTTATATTAATATAATATTCTACTACCTTACATTACACTTCAATACTTGATGTTTTCGAGATGAAATCCCAAAAAGATCGTATTCACCCAGAGCTTACTCGATTTACTCTATCCATCTCATCTTTTTTCACCTTTTTCTCGTCTTTTTTCTTTCAGTGATTTTGAATCCAAATTTTTACGTTAAAAAAATGGTTGTGGAGAAGAGCGATTCATTTGTCTCATCGTACTCAACGCACCTGAAGTGCAACACTATCAGAAAAAGTTGGACTGTCAAGATGGATGGCAACGTCATTGACAAATTTCTCCCATATATATCAAAGTAAATACAATCTCTTAACTTTTGTTTTTTGGTTTTTACTGTGACAGCACTAAAAGAGCAAAAGTGTAGCTGAGAGAGAGGTAAAGCAAAGCCCTCTGTTGGCGTAGTCTATATAACTGTAGGTCGAAGCTCACTTGAGTTTCGAGTTTCCTCATATCTCAGCAATTTTGTGGACGTATTTCCAAAAAAGTAATTAGGAGAACTGCTTAAAAAAAATCAATATGCTAAGAAGGAAAAGATTTACTGAAGATTTTTTATGAGGGACTGTTTCAGGTAAGGTTGTCGCCTTAAGAATGAATTGTGGTAGCCCGAGTATATCACCCTTCAAAACTTAACGATAACGCGCATTTCAGAGCTGCTATTGAAACAGTGCTTCCATTCCCATAACCGACTTTCTGTTAACCTCGGCATTGATTGGATAATTTTCTCTACTTTTGTTTAGCAAACACGAGATGTTATTTTATTTCTTTATTTATGTACATGCTGACGTTACGGCGGATTTTTGCCTTTCCCAGAGCCTGGAAAGGTCGAGTTGACAGCAATCTACCCGGCCAAGCACCTCCGTAACCAAGCAGAGAAAGTGCTAAATCAAAATTTCAATCATATTGTACACATAGCAGCTTCTTTGCACATTCACCGCTTTCTATGAGCCTGAATATGACACGTGGAGAGCAACCGCACAGAGTTCACATGAATCGTAATGTGCCCATCCCATTAGAATAGCAGGCTTATATGCTGCCCAATATCACGCGTGATAATGGGGCATTCTTCCCTGCGTTTCATTTTCGGATATTTGAATTAATCCAGAACGACTCGAGAGTTTTCAGCGCGTGTGTTCTCGATTCCTGTGCAAGCATCGTAACCCCTACTTCAAAACCTTCTCCGTTTTGTCTATGGGCCCTATACGTGCCTAGTGGAGTATTTGGTTTAAATTTACCGACTAGGTGTTCTTTTATACGATCGCAGAGCGGTCTACCCATTTCCCCAATGATTCGTCCCCGCACGCTTTAGAAGAGTTCAAATAGACTGTACCCGAACTCAGGCAGCCACCGTCTCTACCATTGGGACAAATTATGCAATTTTGCGTTGCACATAGGCGGTCATATTGACTGTTACGAATTATTTGGCATCTGAGATTAATCGGTGGCATTTCAGTTATCGTTACCGAATTCCCTAAACCGGCCTTTCTTCTTAAGGCTGCCATTACTACTTTTTTGTTTTATTTTACATGAGCCAACATCAAATCTACTGTGCGTATCTCAGCACTTCTTGCATTCGATTCGTTTTCCTCGCATTCGTCGTCCATAACGGTGGTCGGGCATTGCGCGTGCTGTTTCGGCTGCTGCTTTTGGATTTCTCTTTCTTTATCAATGTCGTCAAATGTTAGCCAACTAGATTTTTCTTGCAATCAATGAGGAAGTAGCGCTAAGGTGCGGTGCTACCAAGTGGAGGAGAAGAGTACTAAGAAGAGCTTCGAGCCAGTACTTTGCAATTTTTGAGATAACCGGGCTAAGGCATCCCACTTAGATTGAGGGAGAGTAATGGGTAAAGGCTCGAACTAGAGCCTTGTTTCCTGACGCACTGCGCTACTCAGGCTACTGGTAATATATTTGTTACTATCGTCTTCTATCACCCTTTATCATTTTGTAGTTGCTTGGCTTATGACCGTTTAAGGTAGGAGCTTCCTGGCTGTCGACTATGCAATGTGCAGTTCACTGCCGAAAGAGTCTCAGAGGTTTGTGTGTTCTCCTCATCTCTATAGTGAATTACCTGCGGTCTTGATATTCTCAAAACTTCGAAACACAAGAGCTATAATCATAGTACTGACATGCTTTAGAAAAAAAGGTTGCTGGAACACCTGTAATATACGAGAGTAGAACTAGCTAAGAAGTTATTCTAAGATTTTATTAATCAATAGTAGGCGACGCGAGATGACAGAAGTGTAGCTTAACTATAAAATTCATTTGAGGCTTGCAGTAAGATGATTAGAAATTACCTTCTCTAGATCGATTAATCCGTTTTCATATTATCAAACCTTTTTATATTAAATGATGAGTGATGAAGCTTTAGATGTTCACTAATCCTTCATGGATCTGCCATGAATTCCACTCCATTGGTAGCAACGAAAAGATTGTTTAATGCGTATTTGGTCCAGAAAATGACTTCTAAAAGCCTATAGGTGCACCACGTCAGTGTTTTTGTCCTTTTAAGCCAATTTTCTAAGTTCGGACGAAAGAAAAAAAAAGAAAGAAGGATTTAACTTTTACACAGCCCGGGTTCCACTTAACAACCCTGTGTGCGTTGCAGCACACCTCGATTGTACTGCACTTGAATTTTGTAATATTGGAGTAATTAGGGAGAAAACATTTTTTAGAGAAAATTCTTATGCTTGCCATCTTTTTATGTTGCACCGCTTAAATCTTCTCAAGATGAAAATTATACGGCTTTCCAGGGGTATAATTTTTGTTGAAGCAACAACCAATTTCTCTGCATCCATTGTTTGTTCCGTAACAAAACACATTAAAAAAACAAGTAACCAGTTGGTTTAATAGATTTTCTTGCTAAAACGAAAAGAATTCAATTGTTGAGCTTTTCCTAGCCTTGAAATGTGCTGTTTTTATCGCAGCCCTATGCCCGCAGCGTCTTGGGTTTGAAAGTGCTCAAATGTCCCTCCTTTTCCAAAGAAAACTTGCTCGGATCGTTGCAGAATTTGCAGTTAACTTTGGCATTTACTGGTTAGGCGGCTTTTTACAGAGGAAAGGTGTTTTTTGTTGTAATAATTTACTTAGAATGTTTGGAAATCGACGTTTTTTAAATGTTTTATAATTCTAATCATGCAGTCTCATCACTAAGCTCGACAAAACAGATCATCGATGAAGCACAAACATCGCAACTGAAGGACAGAATGCAGTGCTAATGAGCAATTAAATACAATAATTACAAAAGAATTTACATAATGACTTTGACAACTGGAAGATTTCGGCAGTGTAGCCAAATTAGTACAGCCTTTGGCCTAAGCAATCAGCCGATAGTTTAAAATGGAGAAAGCACTGTACAAACGAAAAACCAGAATTTTTTAATGCAAAACGAAAACATACATAAGCAGACTGTGCGAAACTTTAAGAAAATTAAAGAACTACGAGAAAAAGCCGAAACCACCACGATCAGAAACAAACCTTAAACCTCTAGGACCTTTCCCGCTAAAAGACGTTGCAATACTTCTTCTGTAACGTTTATATTCTGTCCATCCAACATTTCACATACTCGCTTCACCTTAAGTACTGTTTCTTAACTTTTTAATAGCAAAAACCAAAAAAAAACACATAAGACGTTCCAAGGAGCGCCAAGATTATTCTCTATTTAATAAGGAATGTTAGGTCATTTTAAGCGAATGAAAACATAACTGTTGATAGTTTCCCGTGTTATTACCAAGAACAGGTAAAAGTTGGTATATTCCGTGCAAATACAAATTTACTTATCTGACGTTCACGCACCACAGATTCTTAAAAATCCATATTCAATATTTTAAACACCTATTTTTCTCTGAAGTAGGTATGACTAATCAATACGCATTCTTTCATACACAAGCAAGCACGAGGTTGATGAAGAGGTTTATTCGGCTAAGGTTTAGACGTCTTCCTCTTCCTTAGAGCCGAATATCTGAGTCGATGGTCGACAGTCGTTCGTCTTTCTGAAGTGTTGTCTTCGCCTTCGTATCGAGGCGAATCTTACTCAGTGAAGCCCCAATTCGTGCTAGCTCATTAATGAATGAATCCACATGACGATAGTTACTTATAAAAATACTAGCTATAAACGTAGCCACTGTATTAAAAATTTTCCTGCATGAGGTCAGGCAGCATGCTGTTTCGTAGGTGAAAAACCGAACAACACCAGGCCACGAAAGGATAAAATCCGAACACCCGAAGAACATTCCGTCAGCCCTCGTAAACACACTGGCTCGACTCTTCGCACGTTAGCTATCTGAATGCACGGTCCCTACTCAGTGGAAAACCAGCAAGACCGTGTTTTTGTTCAAGAAGGGTCACCTACACGATATCGGCAACTATCGCCCAATTTGCTTGGTGTCAGTCGCCTACAAACTTTCCACTCGAGTCATCTTAAACAGGATTAGCAGAACACTGAACGATGGGCAGCCATGTGAGCGCAGCGTTTCAAAAGGACTTAGTACTATGAACCACATTATCCATACGATAATACCGCTATATCTCACTTTCATCGATTTAAAGAAGGCCTTTGAATCGACTGAAGCAGTCATGGGAGCCCTTGATAGTGAGGACGTCTCTACTCACTACATAAAGAATCTTCGTGAGCTGTACAAAAATTTCACATTCAAGATATCGCCGTTATACAAAGATAGAAACATTGACGTAAAAAGAGGAGTTAGACAAGGAGATACCATCTCGCCAAAATTATTAGCCACCACCCTCGAGAACGTCAGGCGAACATTGGAATGGGATGATATGGGAGTGAAAATCGACGATCGGCAGTTACACCATCTTCACTTTGCTGATGACATCGTTCTCATAACACCAAACATTAGCCGAGCAGTACCTATGCTTACCGACTTTGATAAAGCTTGTGGAAAGATTGGTCTTCGACTAAATCTCACAAAAACGATGTTCACGAAAACGAATTGGTTTCGTATACCCCATTCACGCTCAACGGAAGGAATATCATTGAATGCTTCATTTATGTTTATCTAGGTCGGGAAATCAGCATGTTGAACGGCTTAGCTCCAGAGATGAGCAGAAGGAAAGGTGCGACTTAGGAAGCTCTCAAGAGCAACGAGGATGTAGTGAAGAGAACAAAGAGCACCCGACTACGTGTCCACCTTTTCGACTCAACAGTACTTCTTGCCCTAATGTATGCGTCAGAAATTTGGTCGCTGCGTAAGCAGGATGAGAGATCACTCAGCGTTATCAAACGCGCCGTCGAAAGGACGATGCTAGGAGCATCCCGTTCCATACAAGTAAGAGATGGGGTCCGAGGATCCGATCTGCGTCAACGATCAAGAATCAAAGATGCCGTTCTGTACGCCAAACAGTCGAAGATGGGCCGAACATGTAGTGGGTATGAACGACAACCAGTGGACAAGAGCCGTAAATGACTGAGTCTTTTGGGATTTTAAACGCACTATAGGAAGACCACCGATTCGATGGTCAGAGTTCTTCACGAAAAGTCTAGAAAAAAGATGTGATGCTGGACGAGTTCCTGGAGCGACCAGAACTCACTGGGCTACTCTTGCACGTGACAGGGAAAATTGGAAGATTTACTGGCGCCCGCTCGAGTTACTCGACGACCAATGAAATTACAGGTGATACAGATGATGAGATCAGCAGTGAGTATAACTGGCGATGCACTCAAAGGACAAAGTGTGTGATGTGGGGCACAGCTCAAAGTCTTCCATGAGACGCCTTTACACCTTCAACAATTCGACCGAATGATCACTTTATCCTCCTATTTATCGTCCTATTCTTTCTAGATGTAACCAGCATATTGGCTTTAGAGATAGGAACTTCATTTTGCCGTCACAGTGAGATTTCACAAAATTGTTCAATAATGGCCGATTTATTTACAGCTTGTATAATGTTTATTCTATTTCTACGAAATAGCCCTTCATCACTACTTCCTTTAATGTTATTTTGTTACTAATCCCTGCCCACAATCGCGTTAGTTCCAGGGACACCTGCTGCTGATGTTGAACCGAAACAGCATTGAACCGTAACACAGTGTGTAGATATATTTGTGAAATGATTGAAGAAAACGAGGACAACTTTCTACAGATTCTTGACGGTAGTTTCCACTTTTTTCATCACCTTAGGTTAGAGTCTATCCCTCTTACGGTCTATCTACAATAAGCAAAGAAGGAAGCCCAACTTCTAGAATGCTTTGTGACTTCGAGGAATTTTGAAATAATTGACATTTTATGCCTGGTGTTGAAACCTATCAACGTTTGCCAACACATTACTTAGCATAAAAAAATTAACTTTATGCGATTTTCAAGATGCAGTTTTGTATAAAAATTTTTTTGGTAGTTAAGAACTGTTTAAGGCTGTCATATCGAAGGAATAAAAGTTCTTACTCTTCTCTTTTTCGCCATGTACTCGCAACCAACATAAAGAATACACATTGGAATTAATGTCAGCGCTCCCAGTGGCCCCAGCCAATATACCTATAAATTTAACGTGATCTAAAAAATAATATACAGTAGATTTAACGCAACTGTTGCTGCTAAGTAACCCACAATGACGAGAAACCATCGAAATACATATGGTGCTAAATGTTCTAGGACGTTGACTGAACAGCAACTCATTTGTGATTTTTGTTGGGTCATAACCTTACACTATATTAAACAGATTTCCTTACTGAATACCATCGATCAAACGTTCAAAAACTCGAAACTTTATGTTGAAAGTGAAAATTACCTGTATTTTCTCAAATATTTATGCGAAAACTGCGACCACCCATTATGCACTCTAGCTGAGAAACGCATTGTTGGTATGCTGGCTTATTGGTATTCACGGTGATTTATACGTGGTATTCGAAACAAATGCGAGTTTTTTTGACAGTTTTACTAAAACGTAATTAACCTATCCAATATTGTTTTAGAATAATGCTACCCTTTTGGAGTCATCGTCTCGATTCAGCCAAAACAAGAACGACCACTTATTATGACCATTATGACGGATCAATGGCCCTAATGTGTTAACCACGAGCGGCTTCCCTTTCCTCGAAAGTAGTCAAGTAAAGCTAATTTATTGGTGTCCTATTATAAGTCGAAAAGAGTTGCCAGTACCGTTATCTTCTACAGCGATAATTTTCGTTAGTCATGATGGTAATACGATTTTTATCACAACAGCAATGACAAGAAATGGCGTTAATAAATTAAGCTCCGGTCCCTCTATATTCCCTCATGGCGATGACAACTACTTTAATATAACGTGCTTAAATAATTTATAAAAGGGTTTGATTGCGTACCCGACGATTGTAGTATCCATAAACATGCCTTGTACTCAATTCATCACAAAACGTACCCGAGAATGGCGCCTCGCATTCACATTTTGTCTCTAAAGCTAATGAAATTAAATATGACAGCCTGCAAAAGATAAATTGGATAATTCTGGAAATGTGTCGAATTATGAACAATAATAGTTCAATGGCGGGAGCAGGGCAGGGCAGCACTTAGAGGTATTCTGCAATATACACGTGATTGTTGCGATCGCACGCCTAGGTCTCACCAAGCCCTTCACTCGTTCGGGATCGACCATTTGGTCCCGGAATTGTATGGGAGGATAAAAGCACAGACGTAGTACATTAACGAGCAAGGAAATCAATACATAGGCCATATAAATGTTTATTAGACTTTAAAAATAGGGGCAAATGCAGGCGTATCGCTAAGAGGTTAAACAGAGCCGAACACTGCCTTGTAGTGATTCAGTCGGGATTTTCTTCTTTGGAAACATAATTCACATTCGCCAGCACACCTTATCATTTGCCTAAACTATCCCAGAAGGCTCAAGTCGACTGTGAGATACCAAAAGCACCACATTATGTTCGCATAAGGCAGTTTTTTAAAGATGATAACTCGGGTACATTGACAAGCTCTGATACAGACCCTGGCCGTACTATATGGGGAGCATTTCGGATTCTGCAGAAAAAAAGTGGTCGGGCTTCACTTACGGGAACACGACCTAGAATCACACGTTGCCTTACTTCCAGTGGAATGATTATACCCTTTCGACAAGGGTGTAAACTTGGGAGGCATGAAATGTTGTGGATGGACGTCTTTTACTAAAACACCAATCTCTCAAAAGAAATTCCAACTGCGAAAGATTTGTGATTGACAAATAAGGTCCGGCTGGTTTTAGTCAGCTGACTTTATAGGAATCTCCATCGTTAGTGTATACAAGGAGTTGAGAAATTCATAGGTCCTCCACCCTTGAACACTTCAAAGATTGAAAACGAGACCTAAATTTTTAAAGTTTGTGACAGGAGCTGGTACATAAAGGACACATGTCTTTTTACATAAAATTACATCTTTTTAATTGGATTCTTATTCGACTTACTAAGTATTACGCAGAAAGTGCGAGAAAAAAAAGGACTCCATGAAGTCAGAAATCGGTCTTGGTATGATGAATCTTGAAGGAAAAGATAAAAAATCTTAAGGATTCTTATTCCAATTAATAAACCGATGGTGAATAGAGAGCGAGGTGTGTAGCGCAGTGGTCGGAGGCGCCCTGTAATACAAATGGGATTAATCTCTGCCCCTAGGCCCACCAAGCCCTCCATCGCTCCGGGGTCGGCATGGTATTAGAATTGTCTAGTACAATAGCAGCACTGGCTCGATACATCGGTAGGCCATCGCGAGTCACATTATATAGGTCAGATAAGCATTTAATCATCTCCAACGATGCTTAACGAAGACAAATGCATGGTGCATCCCTGAGGGGTTGATCAACTCCGAGAGCTTAATCCTTTTATCCTTTATTGTCAATTGAGATACGTTGTTTGAAACTCGAAAGCGACCATGTTTTTACCCCAGTGCGCTAAAAAAATGCCTGCTGTGAACTATGCGTTTAGTAAAACTAGTCATAAAAAGTTGGTAGTCTGCTATAATTGCCGGGCTTAACCGTGGTAGTATTCGCAATCATACTTAATCCATATGATTATGTAAAAATAACTTGATGAAAACTGGGAAAAGAACTGTCAGAACTGACAACTGGGATGGCAAGGCCGACTAAAAATCAAATACTATAGAAAATTAAGCCTACTTTTTGCTAAAAGAGGTTCGGTATTCGGAAATAAGCAACCAGTGCAGTATTCTGCTTGTCTTTTCCGTTTGTTTTTAATTACCTCTCACTTTTCCTTTCGCGAACGATAGGATCAAAAACATCGTTAGTATTATTCCTTAGAAACATTTGAGTTCAAGTCTGCACACTAAAAAGTCTGTGGAATAGCTGATAATATTCCGTATATTTTTAAATTCTATTTTCAACTTGATTATCGATAAGCTCTAGAGGAAGGTGTCTAGACGAGGGTAGAAGAAAGGCTATTATCCCTTCAAAAAAGAACCCTCGTTAGGTTGGAAGCCCTAATAAAATAAAATTTTATTGGTGGTTGTAAAAAACATGTGTAAAATCATTGCCAGCTCTTTTAAACAAAACCCATGAACGCTGCTTTCAGTTGAGATTTCGTTTTACGATGTCTTCGAAAAAAATATGGTGAACGATCCATATAGATGGCATGATGACTATTAAATAACGACACACCTCTTTCCAATCGTATTATTGATTCCAACGAAAGGAAATCGATGACCTTTTCACAATTATTGTTACCGAAGTTTTGTTATATTCATGAGCTTACACATGGCGCGCTTCAAAGCCAACGCCGACGAGCGCACAGAAGCGTTAGCTACAAAAAATATTTAGTTGCTCTTAACGACCTTGTGTAAGCTGATGGATAAAACAAAGCATTATTTTTTCTCTATTTATGGTTGTTGAGATATTACCTCTCATTCGAGCATCTGTCGACTTAATGCAAAATTCGTTCTCCTTCTGAAACTAACTGAGAGTCATAAAGCAGCGGAGTTCGTGGAAATCTGAATGAGCAGGCGAAAACGTGGGGCAGTCGAGACGCATCGACTAAGTCGGGGTTTCGGGGAAAACCAAACTCGAATAGCGTTCTGCATACTAATGAAAATAGAAGATGCCAGTCATGTTGTACTGTTGAAATCACAGTCAGAAATGGCAAGCTCGACGTATGACGCGCTTAGACAACTAAGTTGTATTGCTTACCTATGAATCGATAAATTCGAAGAAATATGAGCATTGGATCATCGCCGAGTGAAAATATATGGTAGTTAAAGGTCTCGAATGGATGCATGATTACAGCTGGTTCATGTCTTTCAGTACTTGAAGCGTTACAGTATTCCGATTATCCTTATCGTGTTCGCACATCGATTATCGGGCCAACGCTGCGAAATATTTATGAATCGATTAATTGTAGGAGTTGATCGAGGTGCTACATCGTCATTCCTAATTTCGCTGATTATTCAAAAGAAGAATGGTCTCTTGGGAGAGTACTAATCCGATTGAAGCAAGTCTCCTTTCAATTTGTAACAATCGAAGATCGCTTGTGGTGAAAACAGGAAGACGCATCAGCACGTCTATCGATAATTCCCACTGAAATTACGTTCGACCAGCATTAAACAAAACACTAACGAGAGTAGAGGGTCCTCAAGCCGTAGCTTGTGTCACGCATGAACTCGATCAGCCTTATGGACGACGATTTCAAGAGAATGAGACGCATGAAAAAGCACTGGTACAGGGATCTACACGTCTCCTGAGTACTGGTCATCAAAGAGTCTAGGTAGCTATGAATTAGCTGAAGAATAAGCAATAATTTCTTATATGAAAAAATCGTAATCTCTTTGTTGCGCTGTTCCAAAAAGATGTGAATAGTTCATTTTTGTGGTAAAGTAGAGGAATTAAATGTACTATTCGCATTTCACAAGAAATTACATTAAGGAAGACAATAAAAACCACTGAAACGAAGGCTTCTAGTAGGACAATGGTTTCAGAAATTCAACCCAAGGCAGTTTTCATTTTACGAACTGCAACTGCACGAGTGCCTTGGTCCAACCATTTTACAATCCTTAGTATATTGAACTTATATAACACAAGAAAATGCGACTGTAGTTTAAAATAACAAGAAACGTGTGACGAAAAGTACTTTTAAAAACAGAATTCCATAAAGCACTCAGAGAATCCAGAAACCAACCAAGTTTACTCGGTTCCCCGTGAACGCAATGAATCTCTTCGCAGTGCTCACCATAATATCCTGGCAAACACAATGGACACCTTAATTTTTGATATTTCACATCTTTTTTGTACTACTTTCTTTCTGCTTCACTTCCCTTTTGTCGTTTTTATAAAGAGACTTTGTAATCAATCAATATGGTGATAAGAAAACTATAATCGTTGAGAACAATGAATTCGTCGTATTTTTGTTGAGCAAACGCGAGGTGTTATTGTTCTTCATTCACGAATAAGCTGACGTTTCGGCAAATTTCGCTTTCCTCAGAGCCTGGAAAGGTCAAGTTGATAGCAATCTACTCGACCAGACGCCTCCATAACCAAACAAAGAAACTCTAAACCAAGATTTCAATCACATTGAACACAGCTTTGCACACTCACCGCTTTCTATGAGGTTACCACTAAGTATGTCACGTAGAGATAAACCGCACAGAAATCACATGGAAGTTCAATGTGCCCCTCCCATCAGAATACCAGTCTTATATACTGCCCTATATCACATGTGATAATGAGGCATTCTTCCCTGCGGTTCATTTTCGGATTTCTGCAGTTAATCCAGAATGCCTCGAGAGTTTTTCACGCCTGTGTTCTTGATTCGCGTGCGAGGATCGTGACACATACTTCGAAGTCGTCCCCGTTATGTCTCTGGGTCCTATGCGTGCCTAGCGGGGTATTTGGTCTATTTTTGCCGGCTAGGTGTTCTTTCATGCGGACACAGAGGGGTCTACCCGTTTCGCCAATGTATTCGTCACCACACGTCTTACAGGAGATCAGATAAACTATACCCGAGCTCATGCAATCACCGTCTTTACCACTGGGGCAAACTATGCAATTTTGAGTTGCACAAAGACGGTCATATAGG